GTGTGTGTTTTGTTGTGTGTGTGTGTGTGTGTGTGTGGTTTTTTTACTTGTTATCTGTCAATTTACATCCTTTCTTTACTTGTTATCTGTTCTTTGACATCCTTTTCTCACTTGTTATTCCATTCCCATCTCTTACAATCAGACCACCTGACGAGCAGAAGCCGCTGGCAGCCAAGTCGTGGCGTGACTTGGCCAAGCTGAATTTTAATAAGGTGTGCAAGTATGATATGCAAGCGTATTAATGTAGGTAGACACAACATGGGAACGTATTTGTGTAGGTAGACGTAACATGGAAACGTATTTGTGTAGGTAGACACATGTAAACGTATTTATATATGTAAATACATGGCCGTATACGTTTTCATTCGTTTCAGCATTGTACACTTGAATGACATAGAAACATGGTAGATACCATAGTCGAACGATTGATTTCAGTAAGGTACGCCGGTATAACGTAGGAACGTACTCATATACAATAGCTGCCAGAGTGATCGACCCATACTGATTCTCATTGGGTGTGTTTGCATATGAATGCCTATGCATTCGCCCTTGTGTACCAGTTGTGGGATTGGGTTGGTCGAGTAGGTAATTAGGTAGGTAGGTATATTTCCTTTTAAGGCCTCATTGGTTTTTGTGCTTACGCTCGCTTGTGAATGTGCTCACGACCTGAGAATATACAGCGTACATCCACGGGACATAGTGACATGTGTATAGTATGTGTATAGTATTATTTGTATAGTAATATATGCGCAATAATAAATTTTTAAAGCAGTATGTGTATAGTATATACTATGTGTATAGTAATATATGTACTATAGTATATTTATAGCAATATGGGTATGTTCAGTACTCTATACATAGCACCATGTGTATACCATCACGTACACAGTACCTCCTCTTGTACCGTACTTCTAATGGTCGCATATACATTACATCGCTTCATGACAGAAACACTACACCTTTGACCAACGGGCAAATGGTACTGATTCCTCTGGGCACAACAGCCCGGACTCCGTCTCCTCTGCTCGAGGTTCCTTTGAATTCGGTCTAAACGCAATCGCCAAAACCGTTAAAACAGGAATTGCAAGCCCGCGAGAAAACACACACACCGCCACCACCTACTCAAAAAATACACACCCGTCCTCATTCTCGGCATCGGAATCGGAGGCGGACCGCTCGACAGTACAATTTGTGAACAGCATTGGGGCGAAAGCCAAAGCCAAAACCAAAACCAAAACCAAGACCCAAACCCAAACCCAAACCCAAGCCCAAAACCAAAACCAAAACCAAGGCCCCGGATCGCTTAGCAACCCCAATACATCGGACGAAGACAACTCGTCACAGGCCTACAACAAGCGCACCCGCGCGCTCAAGAGCAAGCTACTCACCATACAGAGTGTGGGGAGTGCGTTAGAGAGAGGTATAGACGCTACTGAGGATGAGAGGCGTGCAGGGGAGTCACCACAGTCGCCTACGTTACTTAGCACGGTGACCAGTGAAGACAGCTTCTCGGCTAACGTATTGGGCAGTGCACACCCCGAGGAGATTAACAGTGAACTGCAGCGGATTAACGAAGCGGCTATGCGTGTGTGTGAGACTGAGCTGTTGGGACGCACACAGACACAGACACAGACACAGACACAGCCAGGGGGGGGTCTACACACCCAGACAAGTGGGGGTCTACACACACAGGCCGGGGGTGGCACGGATGTGGATGGGAAAGGAAACGGTAACGGAAACGGCAACGGAAACGGGCACGGAAACGGGCACGGAAACGGTAACGGAACGGTGGAGAAGGACCAGGAGAGTAGCGAGAGAAGTGAGAGCAAAGAGAGCTTACGTGCACAACAGCACGCGGTGGTGACACGCAGTCCTTCGTACGCACACACACACGCACGTCCTCACTCGCAGAGCAAAGCCCTGGACATTCGTAGGAGCGACAATGGGGGGGAGGCCGGTGTGAGGATGCACGAAGTGCTGTATGGCCATAGAAACGGGACAAATTCGGCCCAAAAAACACACGAGGACTTGGACACGGAGACCAAGGCCAAGGCCAAGATCACGGTCCGGCGGCGCGGTCCCGGAAGGACCACGGCGGAGCGGCCCAAGAGTGCGTCGTACTCGTGCTTGCACGTACCGTCCAATGGGACAAATGGCAATGGGAATACGCCTAAATTTGGGCATCACGCGAGGAGCTTAGCTAGTCCGCATTCATTGACTGACCTGCTGTCACCCAGGCCGATAACACCGCGGGCGAAGACGTCCATGACGTATGCGGCGGCTGGAATGTTTGTTAACGATGCGGTATGACTACACACACAC